CCAGCTGGGCAGGCTCTCACGGCACCTTTGAATACCCAGTGGGTCTCTGCCTCAGGACCTTTGCATGGGTTGTTCCCTCTGCCTGGAGTGCCCGTCCTCCAGGTCCCTGCCCCCCACCACACACACACACACACACACACTCACACTCCTTCCTCATCACCTCAGGCCTTTACCCAAGTACTACCTTCTCAGAGAGGCCTTCCCTGACCTCCCCTATCCAAAGTGCAGCCATCACCATGCCCTCCTGTCTTCCTTCTTTCATGTTCTCCCGTGGTACTCATCATCTGACATTCTGTATCTTTCATTTGTCTGATTTCTTACCTGCCTTCCTGATTAGAATGTCAGGCCCATGAACAAAGAATCGTTAGCTGCCATATTCACCACTGTGTCCCTGCACTTGGCGCACAGTAAGTGCTCAATAAATATTTGTTGACTGACTGTTCTCCCCCCTTCCCAAAGACAGCAGTTGGAATGAATCCTTTCCCCTATCCTCCCAGCCCAATGCTGAGGGTGTAGAACAGGATGGGGCTCAGGCATTGCCTAAGGCGGGGGTACAGGGAGCCTCCAAGAGAGCCAGTGACACACAGAACCACACTGGCCTCCCCCTCAAGATTCAGACAGGTCTGCCACCCATTCCCTAGCACCCTACTCACTTTCCAGAGCGAATTCCATCAATGCCTCTGTGTCTACCTCACCCACTAGAACGAGAATCCCTTGATAGGGCTCCCGGTCTTGTTTGTGGGGCCCGAGGTCATCAACACCCAGCACTGCACCATGTAAGGTGCACTCTGTGAGGAAGAAATGTAAGGAGTGAAATGAACACTTGAACTGGATGCTGAAATGACTGGGTGATACATCGTGTGTGTGTGTGTGTGTGTGTGTGTGTGTGTGTGTGTGTGTGTGTGTGTGTGTGTGTTGAGGAAAAAAACCCAAAACACAACAGGCTGGGATGGTGGAGGCCTGGGCGTTGTACTGGTTCTCCTGAGTCCGAAAGGTGTTTTTCCTATTTCCTCCCCCCAGCCCCAGGGCACCCTCACTCCCCACCCCCTGCAGAACATTAAGAGCCTGAGGTAGGACCGTGAGAACCAGGGAGCCCCGCCTGAGGCAAAGGATTCGGAGCAACGGGGAGGGGAGGGTGGAGCCCAGCAGCCGGGATGGTCCGTGTAGGGGATGGGATGGTCAGTGCAGGGGACGAGGCAGTGGGCGAACACAGCGACAGCCAGAAAGCACAGGTGAGCGGAGTGGTGTCTGAGGTGAGGGTGTCAGAGGTGCTAGGTGCACAGCATATAGGGGCCCCAAGACACGGGGGATCCGAACGCGGGGTGTCCTAGGCGCGGAACATCCTGGCTGTGGGGACACCGGGTGCACAGAAGGTGGACGGGACATGGGTATCCAAAGGCTCGAGGCGCTCTGGGCGGGAGAGTCCGGAGACACAAGGTAGGGTGCGCCCTGGAGTAGGGAACAGGGCGTCCGGGGCACGGTACCAACCCGCGCGGTGAGGGGCCCCGGGCGCCCGCGCGCGCGCAAGGACGCGGTAGTTCCAGGAGCCCAGCTGCTGGCGAGGCTTCCACTGCGGCTGCGCAGCCAAGGGTCTGGGCGCAGGGGTGCCGGCTCTTCCGCACCCCAGCTTCTCCCCATCCTTCGCCTCCTGAGCCCCTGGCCCACGAGGTCAGAGACCAGGCTGGCGAACAGATCCCAGTCGCGACCAGGGGTGCTCGGAGAAAGAGGCGGGGCTGGGAGGGGATTTTTCCAAATTGAGCCAGGGGTTCCTTAAAGCATGCCACCTCTTTCCCTCATATAAATAACAGCCATCCCTTCTCGCAGCCTCTGGAGAATGCAAGTTAGAACCACCTCCTAGGCAAGCTCATAGGTTCCTGGGGTCCGCAGGGGGAGGTGGACGGGCTGAGTAGGGATGGAGGGTGGGATGGTGGGGGGAGGCTTAGAGCCAGAGGATGCTGGAGGCGCCCAGTCCCCCACCCCGCCCCCTTTCAGTCCTGCTGGTTTATAGGAAGCTGGCTGTCTGGATGTGGGTGGGTGTCCTGGTTGCCCCTGAAGCACTGTACTCACTCCCCAGCATCCATGAGGCCTTTCATGGATCCTACCAGGTGCTGTTGATATATCTCCAAGTGCGGAATCAAGGCGCCCCAACCTACCCCATAATAGATAGATTTGCTGCCAAACATAGACGGATGGGATCATTTCTGCAAGCATCAACCTTTGTTTCATTCCCATCCGGTCCCTCAGATTCCGCTGTCTGGCCTGGCCACCCAGAATCCAGGCCGGAGCTTTGGAGCCACGGAGGGGGGCATGAAGGTGGCCCATCTACACCCTCCACCTCGAAGTTTGGGGCACAATTGTGACCCAGGTTCCAGGCTATGAGAATCCCTACCCAGTCCTGAAGTTGAAGGCTGTTCATAAAAGAGGGTGGAGGGTGGGGGTTTGCCACAGGGGTTACTCCTGGTCACCCAGCCAGCTTGCAAGTCTAGTGGCTCTGCCTTTCCCTAAGTTCAGCTACCAGGGCATGTTTCTCAGAAGCGATTCTTAGAGGCCATGTTAATACACTTCGGCTTTCTTAGACACTCATAGTTCCCAAGCAATTCTGCCCCAAATTGTGTGTATTTGCTATCCAACCCCTCCCACTGCCTTTTCCACACTCTCCCTATTCCTCCCCTATTATGCAGAACCAAGCTTGGTTGATAATGCATTCTCTTCTCTGGAGACAGACTGGGTTTGTCCTCCTCCCCATCCTTAGCTCACCCCCTTCCTCTGTCATTCAAATCTGGATTTGTCTGCCGGACTCCTCACACCCCACTAATGGCCACCCTGGGTCCGCCAGGATTCAGCCCTTGCTTTGGACTTCGCTTTACTATTTAGGCTTCACTTGGATGGGCTCCTTTCCCCAAGGATCAAAGCCAGGTGTTTGCTCCTCCCCATCCATCAGTCGTCTTTAGTTGCACCCATCTTTCATAAAATGGAGCCAGCAGCCAGACTTCCAGGTCTGTCTCCCCAGACCCTCACCGGATCTTATTGCTCAGGACTTTTGGCTACTCCCCTCTCCAGGACTCTTCTCCCTTCTAATTTCCTCCCAGCCCCCACCGTGCACTGAGTTGTCTATTCTGCTGAAGTGTCTATTTTTGGCCTGGGTCCCGGTTTTATAGCCCCCACTCTGAGTCTTGGCAGTCACTGCGATGGCTCCAGGGATCCAAGCCAGATCGGACTGGAAAGGGGGTGCGGGGCTCCCTCTGCAGCCTCAGCCCAAAACCTGCCCCTCGTCTCACTCAGCCAGATGCCTAGGACCTCGCCGGTTCCTCGCCTTACTTCTTCAAGTCGAGTTAGCTGCAGTGTAGTTGTTAGGCTGTGTAAATCCATACCGGGTTTTTGCTCTTGCCAAGAACCTAAAATTCCCTTTTTTTCCTCTCATCATTCGGCCCCCCACCCCCAAAGTGAGACGTTTGAGGCGTTTCTAGATACTAACCTCCCCCTAACACTTCCCTCTGCTCCAGGTGCTCGGTCAGCTCCAAGCCCTTGTCCCGTCGCCCGGGATCTTCTGCTGGGGTCTTGTCCCGTCCCGGTGACTCCAGTCCTGGCTTTGCGGTCTTTCCTCGCCTTTCACTGTAGGTCTATAGTCCCAGAGTGGCAGCCTCCTCAACGCACGCCGGCGCATTGCCCCTGGATCCTGAAACCGCTTTTACCTTCCCGCTCCGGTGCAGCCAGCGCTCCAGGTCCCTTCTTGCCGGGGTCCAGACTTCCTTTTGCCCCTCCCGCTTGCACGTCGCAGCCAAAAAGCTGGGGGTAGCTTACGCCTCCTCAGCAACCGAACGGCCCCCTCCTGGAGCCCCCTGCAAGCACAGGTCCGGGAACACAACACCAGGTCTTACTCGTTTCCACTGCATTAGGCATGACGCATTACTCCGTCTCCCCGAGGAAGGATCCGGCCCCAAATTTTCGTGCCCTGCGTGCATTTGGCCGTGTCGCAGCTCCCCATCTCCCTGTTCCTCCCGTCTCTGCCTAATCCGACCCGGGTTTTGCATACCCATTCCTGATCCCTCATCTCTCCCCGCGCTGGGCTCTTGGCCTCTCCTTTACTTCCCTGCCTGCATAATCCGCTCCGGGTCGTACTTGCGCCTTTCTCTCCCCAGCCCCCCGCCACCCTCCCCACACACTCCCCGTTCCAACGCTGGGATCCAGCGCCTCGCCTTTCCTCTCACCGCTTTCCCAGGGGGGGCCCGGGAAAGGCGAAGGGGAGAAAACTCCAGCCCGGGCTTTCCGGCCGGCCCTCGGTGCGCCCGGGGAGGTTGCAGAGGCTGGTCCCGGGCTGTGGCTCCGGGCCGGGTTTTGCTTGCTCCCGCCGTCCCCCTCCCCGAGCTGGTGCGCCGGGGAGCGGGGCGAACAGGCGGCTTGTCATTGCTGGTGCCCGGCGCCGGCTCGGTCCGCGCGTCCTGCGGTGCCCACGGGCCCGGCCCGGCGCCCCCCTTCCGGCCGCCCCGGGGGCGCGACGCCGCCGCGCCCGCTTCCAGCCGCGCCCCCGCCAGGCTCCGCGCCGCCCGCCCCCCACCTGAGCCCCCCACGGCCACTGCGGGGAGCCCGAGCCGTCGGCGCGGGAGCTGTTGGCGCTGCGGCGCCCCCGCCCCGCTGTCTGCCGAGGAGGCCCCGGCGGATGGGGCAGCGCGGGACCCGGAGCTGCGCCGCCGGGCGGCGGGGGGCTGCAGGGGCGCCCCTGCTGCCCCGTTAACCCCGCGGCGGCCGCCGCCGCCCCCGTCCGGGGGGGCTGGGAAGTCTCCTGGGCGCACACGTGCCACCTCCGTCGGAGCCGCGAAGCTGCGGGGGAGATGCAGGCCGCGGCCGGCACCGCCTCGGGGGGCTCCGCCTCGCCCCAGCCCCTGGAGCTCTGACGCCGCCCCCGCCCCGCCGCCTCCCTCCGCTGGAGGGGCGCGGACCCGTTCGCCCCCTACCTCGAGCCGCCACCGCCGCGCGGGGCCCGCCTTTGGAGCTCTGTGATCCTCATTTTTTAATTTTTTTTATTTGGTTGGTGGCGGCGGTGCTGGGCCAGAGGAAGGAGGGGACACGGAGGCCGCCCTCGCCCAGCCACCCCTCATCCGTTTCCCCCCCGCCCCGATTCCGGGAGATGTGCCGGGCGGGGGGTCCGGGTTCGCGGAGCCGCAGGAGAGACGCGCAGGGCCCAGCTCAGAGCGGCGCTGGACAGGTGAGTGTTTGCGGGCCCCGGGCAAGAGGGACGCCGCACCTGGGCCAGGTGTGCGGGCCAGGAGGGAGAGGATGGGAACCTGGGTCTGTCTGGGCCGCGAAGGGGGAGGGGATTCTGGAGCCGCTGGTCACCACACCGGCGCCGGAGGGAATCCGGAGCGGCCCGCACCTCACCCCCACCGGCGATGGGCCCGGGGGGAGCGGCCCCCACGGAGCGCCGGGCGCTCCGGGGTGCAGATGGCCGGCCGCGGGGACCCTGCGGGGGGAGGGGACGGCAAGTGTGCCCGCGCGTGGCTGCGTGTGCCCGCGCGCGCACCAGCCTTTGTGGGGAAGCGGCGCGGCGGTGCCTGCGTGTCCCCGGTGCGTGTGCGCGCGGGTGCCTGGCGCCCTGTTTGTGTAGGTGTCTGGGTGGGAGCCGGAGGGTGCGTGTGCGCGCCGCGCGCGGGCCCGGGCCCCGGAGGAGCCTGGCGGAGGGCTAGCACCGCAGGATTTCGGGCCGGGGGTTGTTTTTCTCGGGGAAGCGGAGGCGCGGGGTGTAGGGAGGGGTCTGTCTGGGCGCCGCTGTCGGGAGGAGCGGTGCAGCCGGCAGCGTCGTCTCTCCGTGGTGCTCCGTTGAGCGTGGGAAGCTGTCAGGATGGACCCACTAGGATTCGGGCTTCGAGGACGAGCCCACTCCCGACACCAGGTGTTGGGGTTTCCATCGCCATCCTCCCACCTGAGAGTCCTGGGACTGGAGTCTGGGCCGGAAGGGGGTGGGGAGCGCGGTGTGTGCCCCAGGTGGGGCCAGCAAATGCCTCCCAGCGCGCCCCCCCCCCCCGGCCCCCGCCTAAAGGCAGCACCCGCCTGTACGTGGCCCCGCCAGCATCCCGGTCCCGCTCTCCAGGCTCGGTCAGCACCCGGGCGCATCCTGCCCAGGCCTCGCTGCACCGCACTGGCCGCCTCTTGCCCCCAAGTCCTGGCCGCCGCCTGAGGCAGGGCCCCCTTTCTTCCCGGGTCTGCAGGACCCTGAGCCCGGGCTCGTCTGCCCACATCCAAACATGTGGTGCGAGGGGAGCGGGGGAGGGGCGCAAAATGGCTGCCAAGATGGCTGGTCGCCTCTGCCCGCCTCCCTCCCTCTCCCCTCTCCCTCCATCTCTCTCCCGCTCTCTCTACCTCCTGGCTTGCTCTGCTTCCTCGGCTGCTAAGGAGTCACCGTCCAGAGGGGGTTGGACGATGTGGGCTCAGGTGTGCGGGGCACCTGCGGGGATGTCTGCTCGGGGCCCGCTGACCTCAGATGCTGCTGGGAGAGGCTTCTGGTCTCCCCTCCTCGCTCCTCAGGGGCTGGCGGAGCCTGTAGCCTGACCAGGACCCAACCTCCTCACCCGGGCTGTCACCCGGGCTGTCACCCTGCCCTTCGCGGGTCTCCCAGGCTGGCACCCCGCATTGATCACTGGGTGTCAGGGCGCCCCACAGAGGGACCGGCTGTCACCCTGCCGGCCCAGGGCCAGGGGCTCAGGGCTCCCTCCGGGTGGGCCCGGGTCAGGCCCCAGCTGTGCGGCCAGTTGACTGCTCCTTCCTCCCTACTCCCTTCCTACTAATGTTGAATTTATTACTTAAAAGTGGGATGAAAAGGGGGAGAATAAGAGAAGGAATACAACCTTCATTATCATATCGAGAAAATTATCCGTGATTTTCCTAACTAGCAATTTGCCTGCCATGCTGTTCAGAACTGACTTGCCCATTAATTACAGAGATGAAAAATCATCTGGAAAGAGGAAAAGGGAACTAATTCGATCCCTGGCTGGCGATAATCTCACCCATGCACTGACCCACACGCATGCCTGTGCACATGGCAGTGCCAGCCCCCTTGCTGGCATCCACACCTTCCTCTTCCTCCATCTCAGTGACCTCCTGCAGGGTCTCAGCGCACCCCATGCTTGTCACTCCTGCTCTCCAGTGCCCTGCCAGGCCTGCCCTCCCTCCACTGGGCGCTGGTCCCAAACCCCACTCGTGGAGTGGGGAGTTGGCTTAGGGCTTGATCACTGATGGTGCACTGATGTCTGCCCTTGGGTGTGGATATGGTGCCCAGGATGGGGGGAGGGTGGGGAGCTGGGGACCAGCGCATCTGGGCTGTGGGCCCTGTAGGGAGGAGGTGGAAAGCAGGAGACTCAAAGCCCAGTTCTATTCCCAGCCTGCCCTGGGGAGCCCCTTCTCCTAGGGAGAATCCAAGGAGGACCCCGTGAGTATGTTGGGGAGGGGCTGGCAGGCGCCTGGGCTGCTCCTGAGACTGGTTGCATGAAGGCCTGGGCTTCAGGACAGAAGACCTGTGTGCAGGGCTGTGTGTCACCTGCGTCTTACGTGTCTGCCCTCCCTGCGCGCCCCCGGCTGATGGGAGATGGTGTGGCGCTTCAGCCCCAGCGTGGGCATCTGGAGTTGGGTTTCGGATCCCAGGAAGTTGCATTGCTATGCCCTCGAGTGAGTGCCCTTAATGGGGAATAGGAGTGGGATCCCTGTCCTCCCCCCGATTTGCTGGCCATTGGGAGCTCCATCGGGGTCTCTGCCCCCCTCCTACCTCTCCAGTCAGACGGGTGGCCAAGGACACGGAAGGCTCTGGTTTCTGTGTGGGCTCCTCTCGAGGATCCGATTTCCAGACGCCAGACACTTCCCTCCTCCAGGCCCCTCCGTGGGGAGGTGGAAGGAGTGGCTCCCGAGATGGGGGTTCCCTGGGTCTGGAACCAGACCTGACCGCAGTGACCCTGGAGGTGCGTGCTTGAGCCAGCATCCCTCCTGGGCGGGGTGTTGGCCACCCTAATGAAAGAGAAAAGTGGGGTCCCAGGGAGGGAGAAATCTAGTCCTGTCCGCCGTCCGTCTGTCTGCACCTGTGTACCTGTTCTGTGAGTGATCGGGTGGTGACCTGGCTGAACCAGCGTGGCCACGTGTCATCAAGCTGGTCTGTGTTCATAGGGGTCTCCTGTGTGCTGGTGTTGGGGAGCTTTGCAGAGGGGCTGGCCCTGTGTTTGTGTGTGTGGCTCCACGTGTGAGCAGCTATGTGTATCCTATGTGCACCTGCAGGTAGGTACCCAGGTGTGTGTATCCTGGGCTCCTGGGAATTAGGCCAGGCCGCCTCTTTAGGCAATCTGTGACCGTTTGCCAAGTGCCTCTCCACCAGGTGCCCTGCTGGGAATGCCATGGGGACAGTGGCCTGGTCCTGCCCCATGGAGCTCACAGTCCAGTGACACATAAAGGATTTCAGTCAGTGGCTCATATCATAGGAGTTGGGGAGAAGGCTTGTGTCTCCCCCTTCAGAGCAACCAGGGTCCCACCTGGGGAGGAAAAGCCCCAGACTCGGGCAGCAGCCCCTGCATTCGAGCACTACAGCAATCGCAGGCCTGGGCGTCCTGGGGTCCAACTCCCCAAAATCTTCCCCTTTGCCCCCTCTCTCCTTGCTGCTCCTCCAACGTGCAAAGTATGATTCTACCCCAGGACCTTTGCACTGGCTGTCCTTCCATCTGGGCCCTCACCCAGATATCTGCAAGGCTTTTGCTCCCTCACCTGCTTCAGCGGTCACCTCCCCAGTAAGTTTTACCCCATGCAGCCTGTTTAAAATTGCAGCCTTTCACTCACTCCCTTGACTTTCAATAGCACAGATGGCTTTTCCCACACTCTGTAATTTCCTGATTTGTCCCACCTCTTTGTTTATTGTTTGTCTCCCTGACCAGGATCCCAATGCTCAGGGAGTTTGTTACTTGGTTTTTGTTTCTGGGTCCCAGGTGCCTAGACTACCTGGCCCACAGTAGGTGTTCAAGAAATCTCACCTGAGTGAATGGGAGGTGGCCTCATAATGGACCAGAGACCTCTGGGCAACTCCCTTACTTGTGCATAGCGAGGGTTTCCCATGGCCCTGGACCCCTCAGGGGAATTGAAGGCTGCCTGTCATAGGCCAGGCTAGACCAGCTCTGCACCTGCCCCCTGGCACACCTGAGCAGACTGTCTCCGAGGTGGCTCCATGGTACATGCAGGCGAGGGTGTGTGAGTGGGCAGGTGCTTCCCTGTGGGACTGTGTGTGCTATGGAGTTTAGAGCCCAGAGGAGGATTTTTTTTGGGGGGGGGGGCCTGCCCTTGCCAGGTGTAGGAGCCCCAAGGTCAAAGCCTGAGCAGCCCCTCCCCCACCTCCGGGGGGGGGGCGGTACTGAGCCAGCCTCTCATGAAATGGGACCTGTTTTTTGGGTCTGCTCTGGCCCTGGGGACCTAGCCAAGTAGAGGCCCCTTCCCATCCCCCAACTCCAAAATTTGGGGAAAATAAAAATTTTAATAAATAGATATTGAGGCTAAAAATAACCCTGCCCCCAGCCCCCCAAAGCTAAAAATACCAAGGCCCCTTCCTCAGAGGCTAAGATACCCAGGGCTCCTGTCTGCTGATGGGGAGGTGGTCCAGGCAGGTGAGGGGCCCAAGGCAGTCTCTCAGCCATGGCAGTCCTGACATTGGGGTCACATCATTCTTTGTTGGGGGCTGTCCTGTGCATCATAGGACGTTTAACAGTATCCCTGGCCTCCTCCCATTAAATACCAGTAGCACCCCCCTCCTCCCACACACATGCCCACACCTAACACCCTAAAGACGTCTCCAGACATTGCCAAGTGGCTGAGGGTGGGAGCAAAATTGGTCCCCCTTTCCCCATCACCTCTCCCCCCACCGGGTTGAGAGGCACTGCTCTAGATCAGGGATTCGCAGACTTTCTCTGTGAAGAGCCGAATGTAAGTATTGGAGGCTTTTGTGGGACACTTACCAACTCTTGCCTGTTCTCCTTCTGCCTCTTCTCAACCCTTTAAAAGTGGCAGAACCATTCTTAATTCTCTGGCTGTTCAAAACAGGTTGAAACCGAGCCCTAGGTGGTCAACTCCTGCCATAGATCACCCCCAAACTGCTCTTGGTAATGGAGGTTGGGGCTCCCGGGGGTGCACCCTCAGCAGCAGAGGGGCAGCCTCATTTGGGGTGAGTGCAGTCTCCCTGCCCTCCCCCCT